GGACTCTTTCTGTGGGTGGGATGGGAGCTACAGAGATGTGATACTGGTGTTCCTGATATCTGAGCCCCATCTGTACGGCACAGTCAGCTTCATCCGTTTGGATCCTCAGTATTGATGCTTTTATGTTCTGACTTTTTGGTTTCAGGAAATTTGGGAGACTGACCCTGTTCACTACGGTGTTACTCTTCGGTAAGCTCATTATAAAGAGTCAACGCTTTTGAGTTTCCAGAGCAACCCCTCTGTGGTATTATTATCACTTTTTACTAAACCCAGGTTTCACGTCGGCCCAGAAGGTGGTCCAGTTGGCCTACTGCTCATTGGCCGAGCACAACCTCAGGATGGACTGCAAGTACTCGCTCCCGGCAGAGGCGCCGGAGACCTTCTGCAAGTTCACGCAAGGCGAGAGGCTCCTTGACACCACCTTCCCCGGCGAAGAACAGCACGCCCCCTTCAAGAACCGCGCCAAGGTCCGCCTCTTCCCGGGCAACATCTGCCGCCTGCTGTTCAAGAACCTGCCCGCCGGAAAGTCCAACTTCACCTGCAACATAAAACAGGGCGACTCGGCCACGGCGACCAAAACTTCTGTGGTTGAGAAAAGTGAGCCGCTCCATCCGAACCATTGTTCAGCTGCTTCCTGCCTTTTCCCCTCCCCCCTTCCGTCAAACAAAAACATCCTTCCTCTTGAATTTGTCCAACTTTTTGTCCTTGCAGAGCTCCTGCTGCCCTGCTCAGCGTGGAGTGTCCTGTTACAGAGCCGCAGTGGGCTCCTGCCAACCTTGCTGGCGCTTCCTCTGCTGCTGGAAACTCACTGGTGGTGAAGCAAGCGTCAAACCGCTGCGTCCGTCAACACCGCCGCCATACTCACTCGGTGACCGACGCAGGACTCTCCTCGAAGCGTGTATGCACAAGGCGCAATAAGCTCCAACAGGAATGTACCGACATCATCCATACCTGGTTTGTCCCAGGGCTGCGTCCTCTGCATCGTACTAAGCACAGATCCTGCTGCATTCTCTTTAAACGCCATCGTAGCAAGTAGTACACCTCTGCCGGGACCAGACTAACTCCTGACAGACTTGTTTTCACATGTTAGCGAGTACAAAGCATGAATGTGACCTAAATCTCAACCTGTAACCTTGATTATCTGCAACTGTAGTCAATGCAATGAAAGATAAGCTTGAGCCTCTGTTCTTGTAGCACAAACTTGTAAGGGACGTTTCCTGCGTTGCCATGTGTCAACTGAAACCTTAACTCCAGCTGAAAGGTTATGCATCGCCGCACTCGCTGCGGCGTGAATAATTGCTGAGTTTCATTCGTCCTTAAGGTGGAGCAATCTATTTTGCCTGACTGAAATCTGTCCCCTGTGTCTTTTCTTGGCCGGCTGTCAAACAGTGAGGGCAGGCTGCGCTGACCTTGGGCCACACGGGTCCACGGAGCCAAGGGCTACGAAGGGAAAGAAAAATGCCGAGCAAGGTTAAATCTAAATTTCAAGAGTTTTTATTTTATTTTATTTGACTGAGCACAAACGCATGCATGAGCAATAAAGTCCCTCTGCTTTTCTGCTCACTTGGAGATGACTTTTGTTACAAAGGGACGATTATTTTTGCCTTCCACTCGTGCCTGAGACGCCCGTGTTTAGCCAAGGCTCGTTGAATGCATCCTCCAAGCTTTCTGACGTTACTCCACGATGATGCAAGATTAGCACAGATATGGATCAACGTTTTCTCTGATATTGTAAAGGATTTTTACTCATGTAGAGACACTGTAGATGAGTAGTTGGTGTGTAGCACAAGCACAATCATATAAATGCACTGAAGAGCACTACTGTACTACGTACTGTATGTTAATAAACTGACTGAAACAAAAGAGGTTTATTTTTCACTCAGACGGTGCAGTTTACAAAATCACTGCAGATACTAAATAATGTGGACTCTAATCAAATAGGGTTGCATTGAAAACTATAATTTCTGAGAACTTTACGCTACATAGATGGATTTTAAAGTTATTTTCCATGGAGTTCAAAGCAAAGACAGCAAGCGGTACTCCGATGTCCCTCGTCTCTGAGAGATTTGAATAGTGAATGTTTGTAGTTTTCAAGATGAGTGTTTTTCTGGACTGAATTGAACAGGGACTATAAGTAAACCTTAATGTTTTTGGTGCAAGGTATTTAAATGGGGAGGAGTTACACTGTGGAGAAGAAGGGAGTTAGTTTTTTTTAATTTTCCAATGTGGTGCAAAAGGGAAGACATTTTTTGAGACAAGGGAGCCATTTTTTTCACGACCAGGTGCAGTGGTGGAGCCAGGGGGTGGCCAATAGGGGCCTTGGCCCCCATAGGTTAATCTTCGGGTACTACAAAGAGTGTCTGAAGATTAGAAAAGTATATGTTTTTACTTTATAATAATTATTATTATTATTGTTTTTTTAGGAACGTAAACTTTTAAGCAATATAAAAACCAGAAACAGACCGATGAATAGTCAGATGGAGGGCATTTCCACTTCTCTTTTTCGCTCTGTGATGGAGGACAACAAAGGTCAGGTATTCCTTAAAGGAATGCATATCACCCGCCACATTTAATGCCAGATTTTCTGATTAAAATCCTTATATGATGAGAGAGGAGATTTAGTTATTTTGGTGTAAAAAAATAAAAAATTCATTCACAACCTGATGCAACAAGAAGGGCTCATCTACTTCAATGCCAAATGTGAGTTGAATGTTTGCAAAACGAGCTGAATTAGACACATATTTGTGTTTTAAGACGTCAGTTGTGGCATCCATCTTGATTTGGGTTGTCACCAAAAGTTAAAGAGTAACAGAGGTATAACCAGTAACAATTTCCTGAAAATTTCATTAAAATCCATTCAGTGGTTCATGATATATTTTGCTAACAATCATGTTAAGTTGACTCCATGTACCAAACGTCATTTAAAAAAAAAATGGTCTTGTTCAATCTGTTAGTCCTCAGAGTATGAGCTGGGGATCACTTTCCGTTACTACCACAGAAAAAATCAGGTCAATATCATAAAACAAGTTTTATACACACAAATTTATATATATTTGTGAAGTTTACAAATTGTTCGATATTATATTTTGGTTAATTAGTATAAAATACTTACATTTATGGTCAAAATTCTTATATTTATATTATACATCAGAGACTCTACTTCCTCAGACGGCTGAAGCGAGCTGGTCTGGGAAGCTCAGTCCTCACCTCCTTCTACAGGTGTGCAGTGGAGAGCATCCTGTGCTCGAGTATCAATGTGTGGCATGGAGGCTGCACAGCTGCAGAAAGAAAAGCTTTGCAGAGAGTGGTGAAGGCTGCACAGAAATCTGTTGGAATCAGTCTCCCCACCATCACAGACATTTATACCTCCAGATGCAGGAAGAGGGCTACCTGCATCATGAAGGACCCCACTCACCCAGCACACACACTTTTTGCCCCACTCCCCTCAGGAAGGAGGTTAAGGAGCATTAAGTGTAGAACCACTAGACTGAGGAACAGCTTCTACCCTGAGGCTGTTAGACTCATGAATCTCTAACTAGAATAATCACTGTGAAAAACCATATCATGTTGCTGCTGATCTGTTTCATGTTGCTGCTGATCTGTTTCAATGTTGATGTGTTCATGCGTGCACATCTGCTCACAGACTCATGTTCATGTTTGTGCTGATGTTCAATGTTTTATGTTATGAGTGCTTAGTGTATATTTAGTTGATGTTTTTCTTAGTTCATATCTTAGATGTTATTACTGTTTTTCTTATACATTTTATTGTTGGATGTAACTGGGACCTTGTGTACATAATTTCGCTCCACCACATGTACCACATGAGGTGCGAATGACAATAAAGAAACTCTGACTCTCTGACTCTGATACATATAACATATTTTATAAAGTAGATGTGATTTTAAAAAAGATTTCCTGCAATTTGGTGTATTTTAACGAGTTGAAAAGCATCTACTTTTACCTACATTTGTAAACACTTGCATCCTACACCCCCCGCCCCTTACTTGACGGTTCCGAGCCGACTTCTCCTTTAAATTCACGTCCAACTCCACATGTCAAACCTCCAGGCACTCACTCCCACCACTCTTTTGACGGGCAGGAATTTTTTCTTAAGGGTAGAGGCAGAAATGCTTCACTTGAAGGGGCAGATGATTGTATATGCTATTAAGAAGTCGTGTTGTGCCGTCTGTTATGTTTAAAATGAGTGTTTATGAAATTATTTTCAGTTTGTGGTAAATGGACTGTACTTATATAACGCCTTTCTATCTATCTTTCTATCTTATCAAGACACCCAAAGTGCTTTACACTACAATCTGTGTCCTCATTTACCCATTCATACAGCACTGTATCTCTACAAAGCTAACTGAACAATCATTCTAAAAAGAGACTCCGTATTTTATCACATTCATACACCGATGGGACACAGATTGGAGGCAATGAGGGGTTCAGTGTCTTGCCCAAGGACACTTCGACATGTGACTGCTGGTGGATTTGAACCCCCAACTCTTACAGTGGAGGATGACTGCTCTAACCACACAACCACAGCCTTCCCTATAGGTTTACAGTTTATAATTTACATACCTCAACTCTAGCTTCTGATTGGCCGGATTGGGGTCATGTGACATTAAGGCCAGGAAGTGCTGTTTTAGTGGAGTTGATGAAATGTGGAGTTTGGTAGAAGGCTGCGAATAAAGTTTTCCATTTGCGTCTTGCTCAGTTTCATATCTGGAGTGATCTAATAACCACACAGCGAACCCTTACGTCACACATTTATAAGCCATAAAACTACGGCGCTAAACATTATTTTGGCACTAACGGAGCTCCATACAGGGGGCAGTCAGAGGGAGGACGTTAAATACCTCAAACATTTGAAACTGGGGGGTAAAGAACGATAACGACAGGAGACCATTCCAGCTCCTCGTTATGAGGGTTTGTTCAGTCCGACCGGTTTTTCCTCTCTGACGTCACGGCACCACCTGTAACAATCCTTTAACCGGAAGTCACCGAATTGTTAGTCACCTGGTCGTGTTCTTCTTCAGGTGAGAGCAGAGTGGGTGTTGGTTCTGACAGAAAACTGTTCAAAATAAAGAGCAAAGGTCATTATTCGACGGGAGGACCTGTTTGGACCACTTCCCGTTCAGGTTTTTGAAGAAGTTTAGTTGGAAACGTCGAGTTGGAGCGAGGCTAACCGACATGGAGCGGCTCGTTTCGGTGCTTTTGTTCCTCTGCGCAGCAACAGGTGGGAGTTTTATTTTTACATTTCTGCTCCTTTAAAATCACTTTTTAAACTCAAACCTGTAATAAATCAGCTACAGTTACTGTAAGACAGGCCGACCTGTGGTTATCTCCCTGAACCACAACAAACATGTTGGAGTTTCGGTGGTGGTTTGGCCTCTGCTCCCAGTTTGCTCTTCAGCTTCCTTTAAATATTATTCAACACTATTTGGATTATTAATAACAACAATGTGCATACGTTTAATAGAAGTTGCGCTGAGAAATAAAGCTAAACTTTGAAATACATATAAGCAGGAAAATACAGTTTTTATTAAAGGTAATTTTGATATTTCATAAGCTTTAAAGGGAAACACAAAAAAGTGTAACTTATATTCATGTTGCCAGTCTCAGCTTTTTAAATATGTAAAAATATTTCAGCATCTGTGTAATTGTGATGTAAAAAAAAATGCAAATTAAATAGTTTAGATATAGTTCTGTTTAAATTAAAAAAATAAGCCTTTAACATAATTTAAATACATTTGTTTATAGCAGATATTTCCAGCTGTGTGCTCATTAACGAAGTGTACTTTTAAAATAATGAAGTATTGTTTCACCACATTTACATGTTAAATCAATCATGTTTGATTAAGATCTTAAGTTGCAGACATTTATTTTGCCATAATATAATCAGTTTTAGGGGAAACCATAAACAAAATGAATTTGATTTTCAAGCCGTTATAAATCTTCACTTAAATTTCCCAAATATAAAATAAACCCCCTGTCCTGAACAGAGTTTTTACAGTTTCTGGGTTCTTGTTTTTTTTTACAGTGATACTGATTTTTAAAAATGACGTCACAGTTTTAAACATGCTTCATCAGACCTTTACTTTGAAAGGTGTTTGAGATTGACACACTGAAACTGACCCAAAGAGGAAGTTTAAGGCTTCTGCTGCATTCAAAGACTTTTCTTCACCCCAGCTAAAACTTCAGTTTATCTCAAACGCCTGCAGTTTTCAGACGAGATGAAGTCGTTCCACACTTTTTTATTTATATATCTTCACCTCTATACTCCTGGTGGGGACGAAAAGAAAGTCTCTTTGCACCCCCCTCAGCCTGCCTCATCCTGCACCCCCAGTAACGCATAGTAGAGTTGCATTCGGGCCCAAAATAATCCAGCCCCAGCCCGTAGCCATCATTTCTGAACCCCACCCGACCCTATGAATTAACGGTAATTACAGGTCTGATCCCCCCCCCCCCGATATTTTTAATTGAACTTTGACTGCTTATATGAAGGTCAGCGGACGCGCGCGGTTAAGTGAAGGGCAGAAAATCGGAGCTGAGGGTGTGTTTGTCCTTTCATGGCCGTCGAAGTGCATTAAATCCTTGCTTCTGCCTGCATTCTGCATTATTCAGACACGGACCGTGCTCTGACATCTTGGATATTTTGTGATCTCACCTGTTTGGGCCGTCGGCCACGCACGTCCGCTGAGTGCAGCGGCTGAATGAACGTTTATCTGGGCGATAGATCGCTGGCAGTAGTCCATCTGAAGCTTAACTGAACTTTTTACCTTTTTCAAGGCCGGTCAGTGCGCGGTCAAATGGCCGCGTGCGGCTGGCGATTGTATGGCAAGCCATGTTGCCACATAATTGGATCGTCAGCCGCACGCTGATGCAATCAAAGCCTGACACCGACCTGGCCCACACATTAAGCACGTTATTATGGCCTGGCTCTAATTCGTGTCGGGCGGGGCCGGGCTCCATGTTCGGGTTAGAAATGACCACTTTAGTACACGGGTCCTCTTATCGGTGCCTAAAATGTGAACAAAAAACCCTTTACAGCCTCTACTGTTATTACAGCTCTGCTTAAGAGAGAATGTATTTATTATTAGCATCAAATTCAATTAATTAAATTTAAATCAATCAATTAATCTGTTCCTGATACACCAGGACCCTCCCCCACCCACAAGTTTAAATTATTACAGTTGGATTCAATATTTGCTGGTTTATATTAATAAACAAAATTTTTTTTTTTTTTTTTTTTTTTTTACCACTAAACACGATAATTTAAAGAAATGTATGCAGTTTAATCTTGAAATGGTTTGTCAACGTGACATCAGTGAAGAATTAAGCCCCTGCAGGAAGTTGTGACGTGTGTGCACAAGAGCCAAATCGTGTCTGCACGTTAAAGCTGTCATTTCTAACCCGGGTCCGAAGCTCGGCCCAACCTGAGTTTGGGCCGGGCCATAATAATGATCTGGATGGCCGAGTCGGTCTCGGGCTTTTGATTGTGTTAGCAAATGCGCGCGACTAACGATCCAATTATATGGCAGCATGGCTTGCCATACAATCACCAGCTGCATTTCCCTGCGCGCTGACCGGCCTTGAATGGACGTTCAGACACTGCACTCGGTGGACGCGCACGGCCGACGACCCAACAGGTGAGATCTTAAAATATCCTCGCAGACGGCAGAGCGGGGTCCGTGTCTGAACAATGCAGAATGCAGGCAGAAACGGGGATTTAATGCACTTTGATGGCCACGAAAACACAAACACCCCCTCAGCTCCGATCTTCTGCCCCCGCTTATTCAGCCACACGCGTTTTTTGAGTGTTCATAACTATATAAGCAGTCAAAGCTTAATTAAAAATGTCGGGGGTTTTTGGGTTTGGACCTGTAATTACTTTTAATTCGTTGGGTCGCGTTCGGAAATAACGTCTACGGGCTTGTCGGGTTGGATTATTTGTGCCCGAATGCAACTCTACTGCACGGGTAAGAAAGGGTGACCTGTAGGGCCGGGAAGAGTACATTTTTTTTATTTATATTTAATGAACAGAAAATGTATAAATTTTTTTTTTTTTTTTTTTTTTTTAATTCAGGAGCTGTTTAGTAAAGGAGTTCAGGCAGTTAATTATTAACTCCATGTTTTCTGCTGCAGCAAAGGGACTCATTAGTGTCACCCGAGACAACGTGTGTGTGTGTGTGTGTAAAATGTGAGGTGTGTGTGTGTGTGTAAAATGTGAGGTGTGTGTGTGTGTGTAAAATGTGAGGTGGTGCGTTGATGAGACCTGCAGGTTGTGTTCATGATGGCGTCGTCTGTGCAGCAGCTCGGTTTCGCTCCCAACAGTTTCACCGAAAGAAGCTTCCTGCTCAGCTCAAAGGAATGAGCCATGTTTGTTTTTTTTCCGGCTCTAAACGGCCTGTGAGCTCCTCCGACTGTTTGTTTGCAGGTGTGGTTTTTCTTATTAAAGCTCCTGCAGCCGGAGTGAAAAGGTTTTGTTTACAGTTCATAAGTGAAGCGGTGCTTATCGCTTAACAATTAATTCCTGTTTTGACTCCAAATTATATTTAAAGTGAACATAACTCCTGTTTTCAAAGCAGCTCAGTCAGATCACTGCCGACAGCTCGTGAGAGTTCAGTTTCCTGAATAAACTAGTTTTTCACCCACAACCTGTCTCCAGTCGTATTTCACCGTAGACCTTGACGGCTCGTTTAGAAAAACAAAACCCGAACGGCTGCTGACTCTGCTAAACCGGACTGAAACCAGGAAGTAAACGTTCAAACTCTGCAGCTTTATACAGGCGGTGAATTCTGCTGAGTTGCGTCTGTAAATTCACAAACTTGTTTCTTTCTTTGTGCACCCAGGTGTCCGTGGCTTTTCTGTCACTACCACCAACGCAAACGTGAAGGTGAAAGAAAATTTAGGTGAGTTGAAATTAAACATTGTTCTTTGTTTCTGGAAAAGTTGAGCAACACTTGATGTTTAAATCAAGTGTGCTGCAGGTTGTCTTCACATTTTAAAATGTCCACGGACAAAAATGGAAAAAGAAAATGTTAAAATGGGTCAAGTGATTACCGTAATTTCTGGACTATTGAGCGCACCAGAATATTAGCTGCACCCACTAAATGGCCTCCCCTCCCTGGTTCATTGGTCCACTGTGACCTTTGCAGTAAATTAAATTGATCAGATTTTATTATTATTATTATTATTATTTTAATCTTTTATTTATACAGGTCAGGTAGTCTCTTTGAGTCATGAGGACCCACCCCCCAAGAGAGACGTGTATTGGGCAGCTATGGGAGCGCACGGGTGTGATGAGGCTAAATGTTTTGGCATCATGAAGTTTGTGTAAAAAATAAAATAAAAAATCCATAAATTAGTCACAGCAGTGTATTAAGCCACAGTGTTTGTTCAAAGCGTGTGGAAAAAAGTAGCAGCTTATAGTCCAGAAATTACCTTGTTAGTTCTTTACTGTCACTTCTTGCTAATTATTACAGCTGTGAACCGATCAGTGTTATTTATAATATTTGTTCAGCTTTAATTAAAAAATACAAAGTTTTTAAATTTAGTCATTAAACTATTTTAATCCAGATATAATATGATTTAGTTTCTCCTTGGTAAACCTTTTTTATGAGGGGGAGAAAAAAAAAAAACAGCCACTTTTTTTTTTTTTTTTTTGGTCTGTTTTTATGCATTTGTTTATTTTGGTGAAGTCAATTATTATTATTATTATTTTTTTTTTTTTTTTTGACAAAACCTGAAAATCCTTCAACTTGTTTAAAAGTTTTGTCAGAATTTTTTCAAACGCTCCCATAATCTGTTACTTTACTGCACTCAGCCACATTAAAATGCACTAAAAACAACTTTTAATCCCATATTTATCATGTCCTAAAATAATGTATTCATATCAGAAATGCTTTTTGTTTTACTTCTTTCTGTATATGATAGATTTTTATATTTGTTCACTATGTGGTGGTCCGTCTTTATTTGAGAGCCTCGGTAAAAATTTACAGAGACGCAGTTTGACTAGTGCTAAAAGCAGGACCTCCTTTAGGCTGGAGTCACTGCGGAGTCCTGCCTCATCTTGTTCGACAAAATCATTTTTAGTTTAGGTGTAAAGAGCAAAAACTCACTTAATGTGCATAAATAAACATTTAGTACTAAAAAGCTGTTTCACATTTTGCAATGACAAAACACATTTAAAAATTTTTTTTTCAGTTAAAAAAAAAAACTGTAGTTTTTTTTTTGTTTGTTTTTAAATTGACATATTTATTTAACAATTTTTGAAAATATGCATGCATGCACGCACGCACACACAAACAAACAAACAAACAAGTATTTTTAAGCAGCTAAGTAACACTCAGTTAAAGAACTTTCAGGTGCAGAAAAACACAGAGCAAGGTCATTTAAAAAAATGAAACTTCTGTAATTTTATTTAGTGCTTTCAAACTACTTTTCCCTACTAGATCCTATTCAGTCGCACTGAAACACCACTGACTGATGGTCATTGTGACAATTATAATAATTTGAATAATGTTGAAGCATTTTTCAGGCGTGCCCTCACTAAAGCTGTGATATTTGTAGTCGACGGTTGTTTTTATTTTTTATGATGGACAATAATTCTCAAAGATGTCACATTATTTAAAAAAAAAAAGTGGTATTTGTAACAACTTGGCTCAAACATTGAAGCAGCAAACATATTTTCTATGGTTGCCGACCGCAGCATTTCTCAGTTTAAACAATGAGTATTTCAAGTTAACTTCCTATGGGATGTAAGCACTGAAGTAGTCTGGGCACAGGATTCTTTAAGATACCCAGTCATAAAATTGACCTCACATTTTAAATACTGATGTCAAAAAAGTAATGGTAAAATAATAAAATGAAAACGTTTGGAGAGGCATCAATGTCCTGCATCAGTAATTTCCATAAACCACCTGGTCTTCCTGCCGTTTGTTTGCTCGGTGGTAAAGGCACTCCTGGTTTGAGTCTTTTGTTTATCTTCAGACCACACGGGCAGCTGGTCCTCTCACCTTCATTGACTTGTTAGACTTCATGGTGCGTTTGCTTCAGACATGTGCAGTGTGACAGATTTTCTACACATTTAGGACATCACTGCTCCGCCTGGGTGTATCTCGGGTGTGATTGGTTAAATGCAGAGAACCAAATTTGGCATTGTGTAGGAATCATCTGCAAAACAGGTCGCTCTTGAAAATGAGTTCTCGTGGCTCATTGAGACTACCTGTATAAATAAAGTGTAAATAAAAAACATACAATGATGACAACACATAGCACTTAACTTAATATTGGAAGTTTGTAAACCTCGTTTATGTTGTTAAAGTTGCTCCTTCTTCCACTTGTCAGTGGAGGCTAACGCGCTGCGCTAACCTCACTGGGCTCACTCCCTGCAGGTCTGCTGTGAGTTACCCCAAATAAACGGGGAAGTGTTTGCACGCAGGAGGTGGTGTGAGATTAAATCAGGGTTGACGCATTATATCATGTATAGTTTCCTCCAAAACTGTGGCTGAAGATGAATCTGTGGGGTCAAGGCCACCATTTGCCACCCCCTGGCTCCACCATTGCACCTGGCAGTTGATACAATCCCTCCACTCTTCTTCTTCACAGTGACACTCCTCCCCACTTGAGTTTCTTGCACCTAAAACATTAAGGTTTACTTGCATTCCCTGTTTAATTCCAGTCCAGAAAAACACTCTCCTCCAAAACTACAAACCTTCTCTTTTCAAATCCCTCAGGGACGGGGGACATGGGCGTACTGCTTGTGAACCCTAACCCTCTGTACAAACGATGTGGACTTGTTTTTCTGCAGGAAATGTAACCTTGAACATCATTAACGACAGTCTCTTATTTTGCCAAAAGTCTTGTTGTGAACTGGTATGGAAGAATCGTGTGACATAATCACGTGACCTGTTTTTCCAGGGGTGGACCTGACGTGCTCGTACTCTGCAGACTTTGGTTCAAATCCCAGACTTGAGTGGAAATTTAGGGACAAAAGTGGCTCACAGACATATGTGATTTATGATGGAAAACCAACAGGTAAGGAAACGGACATGTCTTTGTAGCCTTATCTTTTAGAAAATGATTTTTTTAAATTAAACACATTAAAGTACCAGTGAAGCTGTTCTTAAAGAGCGTGCGATTCTTCCACAGAGACCTATTCCAGCCGCGTGACTTTGATTAGCAACACTAATTTGAGGTTCTCCAAAGTGACCCGTGACGATAATGGAGACTACACCTGTGAGGTGTCCAGCTCCCAGAGCCAGTTTAAGGAGGTCACTGTGAAGCTGACTGTACTGGGTAAATATTTTAAATGTTAAATTCAGAAACTTCAACTCGCAGAGACTCACAATCACAAATTTGCTAGTACTACCAGTAAATCTTTTTTTTTTTTTTTCCCCTAAGTGATCAAAATTAAAACTGTCATCATGTTTTACAGTGCCACCATCCATACCCTATTGTAACATCCCTCCGACGGTAACGACGAATAAGATGGCCATCCTGTCTTGCAGCGACCCTGCTGGTTCCCCCCCTCCAACATACAGATGGTACAAAGGCGGCACCCTCCTTCCTGTCGACCCCAGCAAGATTGCCGGCTTCCAAAATGCCACCTACAAGCTGAACCCAGACACTGGAAAACTGGTCAGTTGTACCTCCATTTTATTTCTCTACTGTGTGTGTGTGTTAGTTCACGGTTCTGCTTTTAACCTTCAGAATGTCTTAACTTTCTGACTGTGTTCCTCTAAAGCAGGGCTAATCAATTAAACTGCACGGGGAACCACAGTTACTGAAAACCAGCAGCTCAGGAGCCAGACATCCAGAAATTAGTCTTTATGTGAATAAAAAATGTATTAAAATGATTTACCTTTTTAAAAAAAAAAAATTTTTTTTACTGCATTAAATCATAAATGCAATAAACAGAACCCTAAAGTGTAATTCAAAGAAATTACATTTCCATATTTATTTCCTTGCAGTAACTGTAAATATTTTAATGTGAAACAATGTTAAAAACAAAAATGATTCACTACACCTCCTGTTCCTGACATCTCTGATGTTATACATCTTTATGCCTTTCAAAATAAAAGTAATTTTGGCTGTTTTTGATGTTCCCTGAATGAGCGACATGTTCCAGGTGGGTCCATTAAGAACCAGTTCTGCTCAGACCAGTTGTTCCTCAGTTTGTAAATCACAGGTGAAGAGTCCACGTCCTGCTCGGGTGTGAGCTTTGAGCAGAACCTAAAGAGGCGGATCAGGCTGGAAATGATGTGCAGCAGGTTAGGCTTATTAAAGACGGGAATGGTAATGTTCTAACAAGTGAGGAGAGTCTGATGGTAAGATGGAAGGAGTACTTTGAGGAGCTAATGAATGAAGAGAATGAAAGAGAAAGAAGAGTAGAGGTCATAGAAACTATGGACCAGGAAGTGGGAAAGATTAGTGAGGGTGAAGTCCAGAAAGCTCTGAAAAGAATGAAGGGGAAGGCAGGAGGACCTGATGACATACCAGTGGAGGTTTGGAAATGTCTTGGAGAGATGGCAGTGAGGTTTTTGACTAAAATATTCAATGACATATTTGAGAGCGAGAAAATGTCTCAGGAATGGAGAAGAAGTGTGATGGTGTTCATTTTTAAGAACCAGGGTGATGTACAGAGTTGTAGCAACTACAGGGGAATTAAGTTGATGAGCCACACGATGAAGATCTGGGAGAGAGTTGTGGAAGTAAGACTTGGACGAGAGGTGACTGTGAGCAGCAGTATGTTTTCATGCTGAGAGAGCACCACAGATGCCATATTTGTTTTAAGGATGTTGGAGAAGTACAGAGAGGGTCAGAAAGAACTCCATTGTGTTTTTGTGGATTTAGAAAAAGCATATGACAGAGTGCTGAGGGAGGAGGTGTGGTATTGTATGAGGAAATCTGGAGTGGCAGAGAAGTATGTTAGACTGGTACAGGACATGGATGAGGACAGCAGGACAGTGGTGAGATGTGCTGTAGGAGTGACAGATAGCTTCAAGGTGGGGGTGGGAGTGCATCAAGGATCTGCTCTGAGCCCCTTCTTGTTTGATCTGGTGATGGACCGACTAACAGATGAGGTCAGACAGGAATCCCTGTGGACTATGTTTGCAGATGACATAGTGATCTGTGGTGAGAACAGGGAACAGGTGGAAGAGAACTTGGAGGGGTGGAGGTATGCACTTGAAAGAAGAATGAAAGTCAACCGCAGTAAGATGGACAATAGTTTTTTGTTTTTTGCTTTTACTGAAATGGATATCTTGGAGAGTTGCTGCAGCACGATGCATCCGTTATTGATGCGCTGATTTCAGTCAAGTTAACGAGAGTCTTCCTTTCTGAGCCGTGGAGCATCTGAATTTATGACTTGCGTGCACGTGGAACTGGTTTGTTGCAACATGCGATTTGCGTTTTTGTTTTTTACATCTAAACTATCCAAACATTTTAGTCCAGATCAAAGACTGAACTCGACCGCAGCGTCTGGTTGAAGATGTGTATCTTCCAGGATAAGTTGATGTCTGTCTCAGTAGATTTATACAGTGGCTCTCAAATGTAAAAAGCAAAGCATCACTGAGTGAGCTAAAATAAAAATCAAACATACAGCTATACATGTGAAATAATGAAATGCGTTACTGAAAGCAACACGTTTATACGATATAAATGCAGGATCAGAAATCACATTTATGAGATCTTCCTATGGTTGGTCCCATGATATTACTACAGGGATGTTACTGTGAGGTTATTGCATAAAATTCTGATAGAATGATAAAAAAAAGATTTTAGACTTTGTCAAGAACGTCATTTTTACTGACAGCACCAAAATAAATAGAGATAGAAGCATGGACAACAATAAATGCCTGCCTGATTGTTTTCCACACGAGACCTTCTGAGTGTTGAGGAAATTGTACAACAAAGTATGTTTGTTGATTTAAATTAGCCTGAATTTAAAAGTGAGAAGCAGAACATGAATTATGAGAACATAAAACAAATGCAAATGTTAAACATGCAGCGTTTTATGGCGTAAAGTAGACGCCTGAGGGCATTTTAAAAGAGAATTTTGACCCTCTTGGCTTTCCATAAATCCTATTTTCACCAGGAATGTCGGACTGTTTCAACCTGCAGATTTAAACCAAACAGGCAGGTCTTTAAGCTTCATCTGATCTGGCTTGTCTGGGTGCAGAGCGCTTTAGTATCTTCCTCTGCTCCTCTACTGTTGTGGCAGTTGGCTAAAAAACTAAAACCAGAAATAAAACCAGAGTGGCGTTACTGTTCCAGTTTCTCGTGCACACCCTGACGCTGGTACCGGGATGGCTCGCTACAAATACCTGGACTGTTTCACCCCTGCTTTTATGCTGTATTTTTGTAAAGCTTTTCTTTAAAGCCCTAACTCGTGTTGCTGCAGGAGTTTCCTGTCGTCACCAAGATGGATTCGGGTCAGTACTACTGTGAGTCCGTGAACGAAGCTGGACCCCCTCAGCGCTGCAGCGCTGTGATGATGGAAGTCCGTAAGTGCTCCTCACTTCTCTGACGTGAACTGAACTGTGCGGAAGTGTCTGTTACCCAGGAATTTTAAAAACCATTTATCTAACTAATCTAATGCAACTCTTTAAGGCGACATGAACACTGGAGGAATTGTTGCTGGGGTGATCATATTCCTCATGCTTTTGGGCCTCATCATAGTTGCTGTTTGGTTTGCCAAAAAGAAAGGCTATCTGCCAAGTACCGGTAAGTACATTTCATTTTATTTAAAACATTCATAAGTATTGCATTTATCTCAAAGTATTTTAATTTAAGATGGAAATAGATATGAACATAAACGGCTGTATTAGATAAAAGCATAAAGTTGCTAAAGGAGATTTTTCCCTTTAGGAAGCTGAAGATGATTTTTTTTTCTTCCTGTTTTTAATAAAATATCAAATAATCCGTCACTATAAGTTATACAGCATTTCTTATGTACAGTTTATTTTATTTTATTGACTTTGTCTCCTCTCCTTCCTTTTACAGTGAAGAGAGAAAGGTGAGTTTTGTGTCCTTGAACCTTTTTTAGTGATTTTTTTTTTTTTTAAATATGGTTTCTGTTTTCTTGGGCTAAGTTCACACTGCATGTAAAAGCAGCTCAAATCCATTTAATTTGTTTGTTTTGCTCATATGTGACCTACATCGCATTTTTTTATGACTGTCTGAATGTGACAAATCCAGTTTTTTATTTTTAAGTTTTCCTACATAAGTAAATTTTATTTATGTAGCACCTTTTACAGGTCAAACCACAAAGTGCTTTAAAGAGTACAAGACATAAAAACACAAAAGATAAAAACACAAAAACGATAAAACAACATGCGTATGACATGTGACAATATAAAACGAATTAAAAGCCAATCTGAACAAATGTGTCTTCAGCTGCTTTTTAAAAGTATTAAGAGAATCAAGACAGTGCCAAGTCAACACATTCCACAGTCTGGGGGCCACAGCCCTCCAGTTTTATCCCCTCTAGTCTTAAAAAGAGTCCGTGGGACCATTAACAGCCTTTGACTGGAAGATCTGAGGCTGCGTGAAGAGGAGCAGGGCTCTAAATGATCAGAAATGTAGACTGGGGCTTGACCACTCAGGGCTCTAAAAGTAAGAACTAACATTTTAAAATGAATTCTAAAATGTACCAGTGAAACTGGTGTTATGTGCTGTGTTTTCTGTGTGTTAAGTCTTGCAGCAGCATTCTGAACTGTCTGCAAACAATCAAGATCCTTCTTGGTCAAACACATGAAGACTGTTACGATAATCCAGATGGGATGAAATAAAAGCTTGGATAATCATCTCTAGTTTGGCTTTTAACACAAGAGGCTTAAGCCTAGAAATAATTCTTAGTTGAAAAAAGCAATTTCTGATTAATCCACAAGAATGGCAATGCAATGACATGGCAGAATCAAAATCTGTCAAAATCAATCTACATCTGACCAATGTGTTAATAAATCAGATGTTTTTCCATTCAGTTTATTTATACAGCACCAAGTCACAACAGAAGTCATCTCAGGGCACTGAACAGAAACATTCATACACATAAAAATTAAGTTAATAATGTTATTTATCTGAGGAGCAGACTGCTTCGAGTCAAAGCAACCTCAGTGAACAGTTGCCCACGTGATGAGCTCCATACTGGAGTTTGTTTTTACCGTCGGCTCGTCTCTCCCGTTCCAAAACGACGTGCACGTTGGGCTGCCTTCAGGCCTCCCTTGCAAAAGAGATCTGTGAGCTCACAGGAATTCTCCTGGTTAAATAAACGTTGATGAACGTTCAGAGAAATGGAGTTTTAAGGATACAAACACTCCATTTAAATCCCCCTCTAAAGAAAATGTACCGCTTCTGCGGAGATCAAACTTTACCTCACTAATGAGTAACTGTCTGTAAATGGTGTATCTGTTGAAGATGAGACTTGTTGGATCAGATGAGTTCTGTTTAGCAACAAAATTCTACCTTTTTTTTTTTTAACTCCCAAGTTTAATCTCAACATGTCCACCTTTTTAGTAAATTTGTATTATTTTTAAACTCCATGACTTTAGCTCCCTCTCCTGGTTCAGTTAATTTTTTTCACAATGGGCCTCACCCGTCTTCATATTTGTCCTTCCAGCAAACAGAAGTCCAGCACGGTCTACCAGCCCACAACCACGTACGCTGGTGAAGATGACGATGTACGTATTCATTTCCTTCGATTTTTAAGGAACAAAACTCAAATAAAGTTCTGAGTGTTTTGAATGTAGATAAACGAACATTTTTGACTGAGGTTTGTTCCGTTTCTTCAGGGGGATTTCAAACAGAAGTCGTCTTTTGTGGTGTAGACAACGACGAGCAGCTCCAGCGTCCCTCCGTTTGTGACGTTTTGTATCCGACACGTGAGATTTTCTGTGCAGTTTTTACAAAGTGTGAAAAGCTTCAGCTGTTTTCAGTGCAATGCCACGTTCAAATGGCTGAAATATATGAACTATTTAAAAAAAGAACCAAAAAAAAAAAGCAAGCTTGTTTTTTGTACATTTATAATTTAGCGTTGAACCAGTTTTTAGTCAGGCTTCCATCATGCTTCTCCTTGTTTAGACTTTTTTTTTTAATTTTATTTAAATATTCAGACGATTTATCATCAAAGACATAAACTTGCTGATAAAAGAACAAACTCATTTAACCTAGACAATAAATCTTCTCAGCAGTTTTTACATTTGCCGTCGGATCATTTTTAATATCTGGTTTAACTGAATAACACTTAAGCTCAGTTTTCTGCCGACGTTATTGGATTCTTTCCTGTAAATAAAGCAGCTTTTACATAGAAACTTTCCATCAGTTCACTGATTTAGTCATTTCTGAGCTTCCTGCTACTAACAATTTTTCGTCAATATTTTCTAATTCACTTTGTCGCTTTCATCTTGTCATGTTGTGAGATGTGAACGTGTTGGTTTTACTTAACCTTATTGTTTTCTACCTCCACATTAATTGCCTTTTTTTTGTTTCCTTTGACTTTTAGTACAAGAAGTCAGGTGTGTTTGGTCATTTTAATGAAATCAAGCACTACATTTGGATTCATGCATCAGATTTAATATTTAAACTGGGAAACATTCTCTATTAACTTGTTTGGAGGAGTTTTAGAGCTACTGATTGTAATTGCTGTGTTTATAAAGATAATAAAATTTCTTGAAACTGAGTTTTCTAGTTTGTTGTGTCAACATTTAGGTCCCTTTTTATAATTTAGCTTCACTTCCTGTTTCTTTCTTTAACCTCCTAAGACCTGGGCTCTTGCATATGTGGATGCCAGGTCCTAGGAGGTTAAAGCCTGTCCAGACTGTTGCAGAGGTTTTTGTGCACAGATTAATAATTATTTAGAAAATCCAAGAATATAAATAGTCCCCTGATTTATTGTAATGTCAGTGAAATTACACTATAATAAATTAAATTACACTACTTTATACTCTGAAAGGGGTTTTCAAGGTTGCCAAGATGCCTGTGATGATTCAGCACGAGTAATAAAAGCAAAAAACACGAGGATTAAAATAGTTTTAGCCCTTCTGTTGTATATATCTGAAATATTCATATTCGCACAATAAACAGAAAAATTAGAAAGGAGTAAAAAAAAAAATGGTTTAGCAACTACAATTTACTCCTCTATATGGTTGTTACACTGGTTTTCTTAAAAAATAAATTACGGTAAATTTTGGCCATTTTAAAATTAAATTGTGCAGCATGTGGTGGAAATTTCAAAATAAAATACAAAAATATAGAAACGAATTAGACAAAAGGCTTTTTCTGCAGAACTAGAGTGAATGCTGAGATTTACTGAAGCTAAAAGAAGCAGCGGACGATTGCTGAAAGAAACAAACGGCTGGCTTAAAGCCAAACATATCTAAAGGCTGGCTGAAAGTATCCAGAAACAAAACCGAAGCATCTAAAGAACTGTTTTTGTACAAATTGGAGAGAATTAAGTGTATATGGGCAAAGTATTTGCAAATAAATCAAAATATTTTTAAAAGAATAAAAATGACAAAACCAGAAGAACTGAAAGTTTTTATGAATGGTTAAAATAACACAAAGCCGTTGCCGTGCAATAAACAGAGGAAAAAATGAAAATGGTGTAAATGCTCGCATAGAAGACTTAAGTAAAAGTGTATAACGGATCACACATGCAGCCTTCTGCAGAATAGCATCACTGGGTTGCTGTGACAACTGATGATGGCGGGCAGTTTCCTGTTCCGGCAGTGCGCATGCGCGGAGTACCGACAGGAAGTGTGACCAACATTTTCCACCTAGGGACTTCTCATCTCTTAGCCTCAAATAGCCTGAAAACTTCACCGCCCTCGTGCTACAACGACACGTCTCACTGGAAAAAGCGCGTGTTACAGTTTCACTCCGAGTCGGTGTAAAAGTCGGAACAGTTTTTTTTTTTTTTTTTTCCGTCGTCCCACACAAAATGCTGTACTGTCCCTTTAACTGAAGGGGTCGCGCGCGCATCTGTGAGCTGCAGCCCTTTAAAAGCTAACCCTCCGCTACTCTCCTGGTCCATTCATAAATAAGACGAGAGGAGACGCACGTCGAGTTTTTTTTTTTTTTTGTAATTTTTTAAATTTTTTTCTCGCTCCGCGAACGCGCGGGAAGCCAAGAATGTCCACTTCCGTCGAGGACACGACTCAGGGAGCGGGAGGGACGTCTCATGGCTGAACCCCCCGCTGATGGTTGTCACTTCGCGCCGTCAGGAGGCAGCTCTGACCCAGAAACATGCTCGTTTTCTCGCAGGGGTTGGCGACATTTACGTGCTTCCGTCCATAACGAGTCACCCTGGTGGGAATAGCCGTTTCACTTCCGTGCTCCCTCCCCACTGGTGTATCTGCTGTTAAATGATCGCGCATCACAGGAGCTGTGGACCTGACGCACCGAGGGCCAGTGAGTTATGGCCGCCAAGGACGACCTGTACGCCAAAGTGGCACCGCGGAGGCAGCGCCAGAACCGGCCGAGCACCATCAAACATGGCTCCACTCTGGACGTACTTCTGTCCATGGGCTTCCCCAGGACCAGGGCGTGAGTGCACAGCTGTCCCAACACGCACGCACGCGCACACACACACTGCTATAACTAGGCTAAATCCGAACAACAAACCCTATATTTAGTCTCCTGGTCCAAAGTTTCCTCCTGGTGGCAGCATCAGCAGCTAAACTGGAGCATCTGTGGGTCTTTTTAAATGACCCCCCCCCCCCCCCCCTTTAATCTGGATTGTGTTCATTGCACAGCTGGATTGTTTGTGACTTCCTGATTTTTGTTTCCTAGTTTATTATTCTAGTGTTATTTCCTCATTGGCATAACAAAGCTATAATAGTTTTACTGCATTGTTAATACTACCTTCCTGGTGCAGAATATCAAGGTTTAATATTTAATAAAGTGTTGCATAACACGCTGTAGGCACATGCAGTGCATCATAACGACACATTTAAGCTCTACCTTGTGCACGTAGTCATTTTTTTTCAATGAAAGCCTGTTCTCTTGGGCTGTTCCTGGCTCTCAGTACTTCTTTTCATTCATTCTTGAGCGATGAAGATTCCTGGAAAGCCCCGTTAATAGTCTGGGAGTTATCACAAAATCCACATTCATGGTTTCAGAAGAATTGTTTAGGAGAGGTGGAGAATTGTGGTTCTTAACTTTTTAGCTTAGGTATTTAAAGGATAGCTCAGATCTTCTGAAGCGGGAGTTCTGTGGGCCGTTTATGAACAAGTAATATCTTACCTGTTGTGAATAGTCCTTTCAATTATCCCATTTTTCAGGAATGGAGTTCAATTTGGACCTTGGGTGAGACAGAGTCCAGTAGATGGCTTATATTTCAAAAATTTTTGATAACTTTGTTTTATAAACCTTTTCACTGATGAAAAATTAACACTTTAAGTTGGATATTAAATCCTGGTTGCTGCAGAACTTCCTTAACCAGGACAAAACCGAGGCGCTCAGCATTGATCTAATGTTGAATTATTATGGATTAAAGCCAAGAGGCAGGAAGTCGAGGTCAGATTTTAATTGTAAGCCAGTAACAAAAACAGCTTTTTATCATTTAGAAAATATTTTCAGGGTGAGGTCATTTCTGGGCAACACTCAGACGATTCATCTTTTTAAATCCAGCAGGCTGGATGACAAGAGCCCAATAAAGCCGCTCCAGTTGGTCCAGATATCAGCAGTGAGAGTTCACAGGAAGACCAGAGGGAGAGCTCCCGTTAGTTCTGTTCTAAAGTCCTTAACGTTTATTCTAGGATTGATTTTAAATAGATTTTATTGGTTAAGGCCGAGCACCAGACTGCGTTAGACGGATGGATCTGGTTGATGAACCAGGACGATTCTCTGGTTCCTCTCTTTCTTTATAACTGTTCTACCAAGCACAACAAGAACCTTTGGAGGTTCTGCTTTTAGTAGCTGCGCACCGACCCGATGGAGGATCTGAGAGGAGTCCAACATGTGGTCACTTTTTAACCAAGGCCAAAAACCTGTCTGTTCAGTTGGACTTTCACATGGGCTTGATTTATTCTGTGGGTGGGCAACATCTTTTTCCAAAGGGCCACATCAAGACGTATAAAGCAATCAACGGGCCGCATAGAGAACTGGAAAATAAATTTTCTTTGACAATCTAGAAGACCTTTTTCTTATTGTATCATAGTTAGCATGCTTTAAAAAAAAACATGCCTTTCCAACATCCTTTAGGAATAAGACTTATTCTGTAAAATGACTCTTGTGATGTTATACACGCTAGCTTAACATGTTATACGTGTTAGTAGGCCTGTCACGATAACAAATTTTGCTGGACGATTAATTGTCTCAGAAATTATTGCGATAAAACGATAATATTGTTTGGAGACCGTTTTTAACTAATTTAATGATAATGACATAATAATACAAGTACATCCTCTCAAAGATAAATAAACTTTAATTTCATAAGAACACAACACCGGAACTGGAAAATAAACAAAAACGACGAAAAACGAAAATAAAATGGACTCTCAGTCTCCGTCAACAAAAAAAATGCACTTGAATAAAAACTGAATACAACAAAATGGAAATAAAAACTACATTCAACCAAAACGGTATGGATTATGAAGTCTGTAAACTAATTTGCTCTTCAAAAAAATAAAAATAAATTCTATATAGAGAAGACGGGCAAAACTGACAGTTTGATAAACAAAAACTAACAAAAGCGCACTGCATTTAAATAAGAGCAGATGCCTCAACAGTCCACGAGCAGATCTGTAGCTACTGTAGTCTGGCAGATTCTGAGCAAGAAACACCAACATGTTGACAACAAAGTCCATGCTCAATAATCCAGGTATACAGTCCAACATTTTTCAATCGGGTCATCTGGACGGTTTCTTTTTTTTGTGCTGAAACGTTTCGCCTTCGATCCAGAAGGCTTCATCAGTCAAGGAAACGCACAGCACAAAACTGATTCTTCCCCCAACAGCTTACTCCAAAGTGGAACAAACCAGTTATGTTGGTGCTAAGATGGTGTCTTTGTCACGCCCCCTCCTCCATTGCCGGCTCTCTTCCTTGTTGACAGTCGTGTCAAACTGGTTGAAAAATGTTGGATTGTATACCTGGATTATTGAGCATGGACTTTGTTGTTTTCAACAGGGGGGCTTGATGGAGATCGCCCAAGGGTTGCTTTTGGCCCTCGGGCCTTAAGTTGCTCACGTCTGTTCTATAGGATACCTTTACTTTCCTCGCTGTAAAGCTTTTTGAATTGCACTGGACTCGTATGAAAGGTGAACAGAAATAAAACTCGTTGATTGATTATTATGGGGTGGGGAGTTTTAGGCGCCTCACAGTTTAATTGAATTATGACTAGGTGGGCTGTGATAGGATTATACAATTATTATTATTTTGCATACATAAATGCATTTATAGTTTTATGCCTAACAAAGATTGCACAATTGCTTATGTTAAAAAATATATATTTTGACCAACACTTAGCGTAGATGCTAACCTACCATTGAAAACGCCATAGTGAAGCTAATGCGATTAGCATTGTGTTTATCGCTGAGGTTTTATACATGATTAAAATATTTCAAAAAGTCATTATTACTGTCAGTGATGTCATGATAACTTAGATTATTATAAGGGTACAGTTTAAAACAATGTAAAATAACAAGCTATAGTAACTCTCCCCGACCAAACGGCTCCACGCAGCGTCACGGACAGTCTGAACGCTTCTTTTACTTTTGTACATTTTTCAGCACCTAACTGTTCCTCGGTTTTTGCTATTTCAACAATCCTTTTATCAAAACTTGCAGCTCGTTCAGGACGTTCCTGCTGGGGCTTTGACTGGTATTTGTTCAATTTTTGCCTTTTTGAAGTTTTTAGCTTTGTCGGCCATGTTTTTCTCATTGAATCCTTCAGCCCCTTTGAGCTGTTTTTAACTGCTCATTTCAGCTTTGCTTCTGATTCAGCTTTTTAAAGCTTTTTTTATATATTAATTTCAGCTATTTTCTTTCTGCTCCCGTCAGCTTCTGTCTGCTACATTCAGCCGTTGTTTCTTTTCTAGCTCATTTTTAGGTATTTTTCAGCTAATTTGAGCCTGTAATCTGCTTTTTTTCTTCTACTTTCCAACTTTTGCGCTTCTTTCTGCTAATTTCAGCTTTATTTATTTTATTTTATTTTTATCTGTCCGCTACTACCTGGATGATCGAGCATGCATCAGGACACTCTCTCAGCTGCTTTATTTATTTATTGCAAATTTAATATTTTTTCTGCTCTTTTCAAAATTTTTTTTTTTTTTTTTTTGGCTTATTTTAGACTTTTTTTTTTTTTTTGTAATCTTTTCAGCCTCTCTCTGACTGTTTCAGCTTAATCTGCCCATTTTGGAGCAAATTCAGCTTTTCCAGCACATTTCTGCTGCTTTGTTTTTATTTTCTGCCCTTCAGCAAACGTCAGCTGTTTGAATTCGATTCACATCAACTGTTCAGAGATGAACCTTTTTCAGCCTGGTAGCTGCAGCAGTACGTGTTCACACTGCACAAAGAAAACAAGAAGAAACCGTCCAGATGACCTGACTTAACTTTGTTGGATTTTTTTTACCTGGATTATTGAGCATGAACTTTGATATTCACACTGCACATAGTTACTTTTACTTTCTGTGGGGGTTAGTCTAGTGATGACAGTCAGACTGATGGCAAAACAAAACTACTGATCAGGTGCAATAATAACCCTGCACTACCTAACTTCACGTCATGTGACATGATTTACTTTCCGTACAGTAGATGGAAACTACTTTTTTCTTATTTAATTGTATTTGGTGTTTTCGTGGTTTTGACTGACTGAGAGCTCTGCACAAGAATTTCCATGTGCCTGGATTGTTGGTCTGTGCACAAATGGCAAATAAAGAACTTTGAACTATTAGCATGCTCAAATAGCAACAAAAGCAGCTAGCTGTAGCACCTTCCAGTGCTGGAGTAACGATGCAAAGCAAAACGGATCATGATTTATAAAATTATGCTTACACGACGGCTGCAAAACCTTTTGTGATTGAATTTTTTTTTAAGACTGCAACAGCAATCAGTCATGTTTGGTCTCGACCTCGCGTGGGCTAGCTGTTAGCTTGTGAACCTGGTCAGAATTGGATTCTATTTCTGTTCCTAAAGTTATCTGCAACAGGTCAGATATTAACTGCTCATACCTTTTTTTTTAAACGGATCCCCACTTCAATGGTTCTGATTTGTCTCACACCTCAGAATTGGTTTTAAAGAACAAACCTTAACTTGTTGTTTTTACACATTAACTCTCCCCGCTAAACAACAACACTGTTTTTTACCAGAACATTTTAGTTCTACGGTCAGCGCCAGTATTCATACAGTTTCCATATTTGAACAATCGGTGTCGAACTGTAAGCTCGGCGCAGTTTTGCTGTAGTTGCCGGCCTGTCGTCTTTAAAATCACACAAGGTATAATCAGAACGTCTCCTCACTGTTTGCTCCGTCACCAACTCCCACATGAAATATTAAACCAACTGTTTAAACACACAAAGACCTTTTTTGTTCGTTGCCTAAAATGTC